AAATTATGAAATACATATCATATATCTAATGAATTTATATAACCCTGTTTCCAAAAAAAGTTGGGATACTGTGCAAAATGTGAATGAAAACAGAATGCAAAGATGTGGAAATCATTTAAACCCTATATTCAATATCAAAGATGAAGCTGAGAAATTTGATTGTTTTTTGAAAAATATATGCCCATATGCCAGCAGCACCTTTCAAAAAAAGTTGAGACGGGGCAGTAAAAGACTAGTAAAGTTGAGTAATGCTAAAAAACACACCTGGTGGTTAATTAATAACATGTCAGTAAGATGAATGAGTATAAAAAGAGCATCCCAGAGAGGCTGTGTCTTTCAAATGTAAAGAAGAGAAGGGATTCAACACTCTGGCTGTGATTCTGTTATGGAATTCATTGCATGGGCTCAGGAATACTTCCAAAAACCACTGTCTGTGAACACAGACAAATACAAGTTAAAACTCTACCATGCAAAGAAGAAACCTTATATGAACAGGTTCTAGAAACACTGCCGCTTTCTCTGGGCTCACACTCATTTAACATGGACTGTCGCGTGGTCCGACAAATCAAAATTTTAAATTCTTTTTGGAAATCATGAACACTGCATCCTCTGGGCTAAAGACCACCAAGTTTGTTATCAGCACACAGTGCAAAAGCCAGCATCCATGATGGTATGGGGGTGCATTAGTGCACATGGCATGGATGACTTGCACATCTGTGAAGGGACCATTAATGCTGAACGATATATACATGTTTCGTTAACATATGCTGCCATCCAGATGACGTCTTTTTTCAGGGAAGGCCTTGCTTATTTCAGGAAGACAATGTCAAACCACATTCTGCATGTATTACAACAGCATGGCTCTAAAGTAAGAGTTAGGGTGCTAAACTTGCCTGCCTGCAGTCCAGACCTGTCACCCATTCAAATATTTGGCGCATTATGGCACTATGGCACATTCTGAAATGAAAAGTGCGACAAAGGATGCGCTGAACTGTTAAGCAGCAGAAATCCTATGTAAAGCAAGAACAAAAAAACATTTCACTTTCAAAACTTAAGCAGTTGGTCTCCTCAGTTCCCAAATGCTTACAGTGTGTTGTTAAAAGAAAAGGTGATGCAACACAGTGGAAAACATGCCCCTGTCCAACTTTTGGAATGGGCACATTTGGAATGTGTTGCTGGCATCAAATTCAAAATATCTCAGTTTCATAATTTGATATGTTGTCTTTGTACTATTTTGAATTAAATATAGGGTTTACATGATTTGCACATCACTGCATTCTGTTTTTATTTTTTACATTTTGCGCAGTGTCCCAACAAACTTCATTGTTGACTAACTAGAGATGCAACACTGATCTGCCTTAGGGTGGCACTGTAGCAAATTGGTTCACCCAGTTGGTACTTCATAGCCTAGTAACTGTAACTATGCCTGGGACACCTCTGAAAAACTTTATAGTATACCGTAGTGTATTTGTAAATCTGATAACTTGCCCAGTTTTCCAAGAGTTTGGTGGAATGAGTGAATTGTTACTTATTTCTCAAACCAAAAACAAAGAGGAGATGTGTAAGATCTCAGTTAATGTGTGGAAGAGTGCACTACCCATCTAGAAAAGTGCGTTTCCAGAAGAAGAATGGTTAAACCAAACATTTCGTTGCTAATGTATCTAGCATCAGTGCTGCTATGGCAAGTAAGTTAGCAGCCAGCCAATGCTGGATTAGCAAGCCAACACGGGACTCCCCCGAATACCAGCGAGTATTTTGCACACTGCCCAGGACCCCATATAAATTTAATCCTGTCTGAATAGGGCTTTAGAAACAGGAGACATACTGTGAAATGGACACAAAATGACACAGTTTATGTCACTGGACATAGGTGTTATGTCAATGTCTTGGAATGAGCCTACATAAATGTTTATGTAGGTTGATGTCAGTTGTCATGAAAGGTTTATGCAAATATCATGTAGCCTTGTCATATTTTATCATGTAGTGGTGATGGGAGCCAGAGGTTGTGATGTCTATACAAATATAGCCATTTTATTACTATCCAAAACCACCACTAAACCTTCATGTGTCTTCTGAGATTTTATATGTAATGTTGATGGTAAACTAGTGGTAAATCTAAAAAAAAATATGGTTTCTTTGGGGACTATTTTGCCTTGCTACACATTGCATCTTTACACCATGAATGACTTTTAAAAAATATTTTTTCAGCCAAAACTGTTCCTCAAAAACAACAATGTATGACAATGTTGCAGGCATCAGGCTGCCTATTCATAACCATTTCATGTAACAGCTTCCTGTGAGCTTTTAGTAGCTTTTAGAGGCATTTAACTCTTTGAATATCTGGCTCTGATTGGAGAGTGTTAGAAATTCAGTATGGAAAGATTCAAATGCAGTCTTGATGAAGATGTAGTAAATGCTATGTTTACTAAGGGGTCATATAGGCAACGTTTACATTACCAGACTTAAGTGGCACAAGTCAGATTTTTTGCCTTAATGTGTCAGCATTACTGTGGCAGTGCCAGTAGACTCTGCAAAATCAATGTATCTGGCCCTTTTTTACCTTCGTCTTGCTCTAATAATGAACAGCAGAAATCTGCTCAGACCAAATTATCTCTATGATGAAGGCTTGTTCTGATGTTTAGTTTGTTTGTTGTTCATGACACGTAATTTATTCATGTGATGTTATTGATTAGGATTTGCACATGCCAGTAATCTCAGGACACAGGTTTGTTCACAATAATGACAGATTTGAGTCACATACCTACATAAATGTAAACCATCAAGTAGAAAGATCGGATCTCAACAAAAAATCAGAATTGAGCAGTGAGGCTTGTAATGTGAATGTAGCCATAAAGAAATGCAATGATATACTTAACATTTAGTTTTGCAACATTAGAAGCAGCATGTAAAAATGCAGTGTTGCCTTGTGAATTGCTTTTAAAAGCAGAATACATTTACTACTGCTAATTGGTTTCCAGTAAACAAATCAAGTGACATGAGAACAGTATAAAGATTTAATAAAGATTTTATTTTTCAGGCACGTTTTCTGCACGTGACTGATAAAAAGAACTGTGCAGGCTATTACTGACATTGGTGGCAAAACAGGAAAAAATCTAATACTACCATAGTTATTGCTTATAAATAACGGTTATGTCATTGAGCTGTATTCATTCCCACTTAACAGAAACGTCATTAAGCTAAAGACAGAGATCAGGAAAGATCAGGGCCATAGAAAACAGTAAGTGCATTGCTTTTAACAAGAGAACAAAGCCACAATTTCAGTTCCACTTAATGTCCTCACCATTTCATAAAAGAAGCCTTTGAATTTATGAATACATCAGACAGTAAATCGGCTTTAGATATGGCTTTGACCCTGCTTTTTCCATGAAGGGCTAATTTTGTACAGCATGGCTTTATGAGTCAGACTGTTATTTGCTATCAGGATGCCATGGAGATCATGAAAAACATGCAGTGAAATGAAATAAAAACATGCAATAAAAAAAAGTTAATTTTAAAAAACTTAAGCATGCATAATCATTCCGCCTAAAATATCCATGCTGCCTATATTCCATTTTAAAGCCATCTGTGGCAACTTTGAAGTATTAAAGGAACATCAAAGTTGAAAAGTGATATAACAAACACTTATTGCTGATTTAGTTTGAACTGAATGCTATGTTTACTATACTTGCTCATCTTCCGTTTGAAGATGATCAGTGAAATTAGAGTTGTGAATTTTAGATGACAGAGGAGTGGTAAAAGACATGCATCCCTTCTCTCGAGTTGTGTTAAAGCAGCAATTACTGAATCAACTTGTGTGGCCTAAAATGGTGACTTTGCAAAAAGAGAAGAATATTTTTGGTAATGAGGAACAATATCCAAAAGAGTCTACTGCTCACCCACATGGAAACTTCAGTTTCCAAAACCACGACTTAAACACATCTAAATATTTCCAGCTGCCTTTTTCACTACACAGTCTGAAAGCCTTCTGTAAAAATATAACATACAGAGTCACCATACCTTATGTGAACCTGGAAAATCTATCATGGAGCTTTGAACCATAAAATATGCCATAAAGTTGGGACATCATAGAATTCTTTTGATGGGATGCTTCACAGTAAATTGAAAATGTTTTGTTGAACTGTGTACCCTCAGCTGAGGTCTTTATAGGTTTATGTAAAGGAATTCCATATGTGCATATTCTATCTTGTGAAAGTACGTAGTATTAACTATATGAATAAGTCCTTATTATTGTCCATATAGATTTGTCCTCTGACACAGAGATGTGGAACTATCATGTCTGAGGTATTGAATACTGAAATTATGTATTTTCCATTTAGTTAGATGATTTTTGGGGTGTAAAGATAATATTGCATATAAGCTCTTCTTTATTTGTTATATTTGTTATTTATTTATTTGTTTGTTTCCTGACTGTTTTTTTTTTTAGGAAAATATGCCATTATGACAACATAAATCATAAATCACTTTGCCTTATTCCTTAATTTTTAAACTTATTGTAATGTTGTAAATAAATATCTAGGCCCTGTTCATACTTGGTATTGAAATCCATCTCAAGTGATCTAATCACAAGTGGACAGTGAGAAATATTTACGCCTGGAATTTCCATGGGTTTTGAAAACTTACTTTCTTACATGCATTCTTTGAAAGCATGCATGCTGTTGTGTATAGCAGCAGTTCTCAGACTGGTAAAACAGGCCTCGTTTTTAGTCCAACTCAATTCGGAACACATAAGGAAAGAGGAACAATGTAGACGTCCTTGTTGGCCCTGTGGACCACTAGTGTATAGTGTATAGTACTATGCTCTATATAATGATGGCTTAATTATTAAGAGCAAAATTATTACCAGAAATCAATACTGCAGAGTTGTCCAACTTACGTTATTGATATGAATTTGATTGTCTTCTTCCTCAAACACATTATTTTAAGCCTTGCTTTAAGAAATTGGACTCATTGTTTGTTTCTCTGGTTCAAATTCTTTCCAGGAGCTGGCCAGCTGTGGATGGAACAAGAAGGAGAAGCACAGCCTTGCACCTAATGTAGTTGCCTTCACCCGGAGGTTCAACCAGGTTAGAACAGCTAAAGCTTCTCTCTGGTATAGTGGGGTATTTAATCTCACCTGTGTCTTGGATAAGCCCAGTTTGAATACCTCTGGTCAAATCTCATGTTTTATTGATTTTCTAAGTGAAAATAAGGTAACACATCCTTTACAGGGAGCAATATGTCATTTTCAGGAAATTTTAGTTCACAATTTATATATATTTGCTGCGCTTAACAGTTGGAAAAAATATTAAATTCCAATGTTAAATTCAACATGTAAACAGTAATTGTGCAATAAATTGTGCAGAAGTGTGTTCTCTGTAGAGGATGTGTCCTTATTTTCAATCAAGATTAATTGAGTAATCATGCTATTGCAGGTGATTATGGCCTTTTTTTTAACTTTTCAATTTTGCTTTGGCTGCTCAGTAAGCTGTTCAGTGAATACAGTGAGTCTGTTGGAGGTTCATTTACATGTCAAACCAATGGTGGTAATAAGTCCAGACATAGGTTTACTAGACCACAACAAAGGAAATATGTTTTCCGCATGCTCACTTGCCACAGCCCTACAAGATTAGCAAATGCCTTTAATAGATGAATAACAACCAAATGGCCCAGGACACTATTTTAAACTGCTTCATTTAGCTTACTAAATGGAAATATGCATGACTGAATAAGCCATAATGTCTTGTTTTTTTTCTCTTGGGTTAAGATTTTGATATGTGTGCTTAACAGTCCCATTTTATTTTGTAGCTGACGTCCAATTACATCAATTTTTGCTGTTACTGCAAAAGCGCTTCTTTTGTCGTGGCTCTTGTTTGATGTGCTCATAAATGTCAAATGAAAAATGACAGAGGGCACTGTTCATGAATTGCTGATTGTTTACTAAAATGTCGTAAAATATTAAAATGAGAAATCATTATACATCTGAAATGACACATAACATTTCTGTTTTTCTAATCCAATGGTTTGGGTGATGTCTAATAATTAAAAATTATACTAATTAAACTGGGCTTCTTGGAAATGACTCATCTTAGGCAATGAAATGTCTTCATTATTTCATTTGGTAAAAAAAAAGTGTAGAGGAAACATGAAAGTCAACAGTTGTTACTTTTGTATGTTTATAGCATGTTTCATTTGACATTTTATTTTATTATATGGTTCTCACCTGGAAGGACACTTGCAAATTGTTTACAAGTACATTAATAATAGAAAGGTTTGTGGTGAAATTATGGCTGTCCTCTCTGTCAGTCAAGCAGCTGCTGAAATAACCATCAATAATAGTAATAATCAATAATAATCTTGTAGTCTAGATGTTGATTATAAAAAATGTTGATTATAAAAATTTGGCGCTTCTTGTTCTTGAAATGAACTAGCAATAGTACTACATAGGTACAAAGGCTAGTATAAGCAGACACCCTGGAGCTAAAACAATGATTCTTCGTAGAGTGTGATGAAGATCTCTAGACAGCATTCTTATGTAACATTTTACTTGATCAATTAAATTCTGGTAGTGCTCATTATATAGATAATGTACAACTAAATGCATAGTGTACCTACATATAATACATATTTTGGTGTCAGCAAAGTTATGGTTATTGTAGCTGTCTAGCACAGCTTGTTGGAGTTAAAATAAGTTTGGGTGAAATTTTCAGAAATGTTCATACAAGCACAAGAACCCCCACCACCCCCACCCCATTTATAGGTGTTCAAAAACAGTTGACTGCTCAGCTGCTCCATGGCTAGGTGTGTGTTGTTATTTTGTTATTTTTACCAACAAGGAAGCAGTTAATATGTCTAGAGTCACATTCAAGAGTAGCATTTGCATTTGGAATCTGTTGCTGTTGACTCTCAAAATTAAGTCCAAAGAGCTTTCACTGCTAGCGAAGCAAGCCATCGTTTAGACTGAAAAATCAAAACAAATTAATCAGAGAGAGAGAGAGACAAAATATTCATTGCTCTGGACAAAAGAAATATCAACAAGAATGGGAAGAGAAGAATATGGAGAATGGAAGAAACTGCTCATGACCTGTCAAACGTAGTGGAGGTAGTGTTACAACGTGGGCATGGGGACAAAAGCAGCAGGATGAATTCTGAAGTGTAAAGGGCTATATTATCTTCTCAGATTCAGCCAAATGCTTCAGAACTCATTGGATGGCATTTAACGGTTCAGATGGACTTTTTTTTAAAGCAAAGAAGTGGAATGTTCTGCAGTGGCCAAATATTACCAGACCTCAATCCAATCAAGAATGCATTTCACTTACTGAAGGCAAGGTTTCCCTTGACATGCCTGTCCAGATAAGTAACCCCCTGCATAACCAGATAGGAAACTTCCATGTTTTTTGGAAATAGGGGTTCATTGAAGTTCATTGAAACAAACCATTGTTGGGACGTCATTTGTGCCTCATCTTTCATGTTTGCTGAGATGATTAGCATTGCTTATAAACCCTGGAACAAAGCATGATTGAAATTAAAACTGCACACAAACCCTCAATCACTGTGACTTTTGTTAACAATAGTTGTTTACTTAGTCACCAGAATTTAACAGATCTAAAATTTGCTGTCAGAGTAAACTGTTTAGAAGTTTGTCAGTAACTTGTCTTAGGTAATGTATGTGGAATGTGCATACAAATTGGCTCATTAGCCCTACTGCTAGGCCACATGGTTGAGGGTTGTTTTAAATAGGTCAGTTTTTTAATGTTTTTATGCATTTAAGGACAGTTACAGCACAATAAATAATACATTAAATGTTTAAAATTAGGCATGTATGCATTAATGGCTTTGGATTGAGAATGTTGGTAATGCTGACCTTTTTATTTAGTCTCCAGCTGGGAGGATGAAGGCTAGCATGTGCTTCCTCTGAAACATGTGAAGCCAACCACCGCATCTTTTCGAGCTGCCACTAACACAGCGCCATTGGACAGTTCAACATGCTTAAAGGAGAACACTAACTGTCAATTCTGTTACATCAGACATATGCATTGGCTAGCATTGCACTAATTGTTAAAGAAAGTGGGAGGGCCATCCTACCAACCTTGAGAGAGCAGGTACTATTATGCTCTCTTGGACTCTCAGCCATGGACAGCTATGGCATCACCAGTGATCAGACTCATGATTTCCTGATAATGGGACCAGTAACATTCTGACCATGCAATCTTGAGCACATTGTAGAATTATATCACAGTGTAGCACATATGCAATGTGTAACTTTAAATTGGATGGGGACTCCATTTTGGCAACTGCAATATGATTTTTTTAATTTGTCATTTAATTTGTGTTATACCTGTTTTCAGGTCAGTTTCTGGGCAGTGAGGGAGATATTGACAGCGCAGACTCTGAAGATCCGAGCCGAAATCTTAGGTCACTTCATCAAAATAGCAAAGGTGAGACAATGTTTTCCTTTGTCATCTTATCTTGTGTATTTGACTAGAACATGGTGCACAGGCCAAAGTTAGCCTATCATGATGATTCATTTAGCCCACCAGGAAATGAACCTACAAACAAACATAGTGTAGTGTTGGCAGAAGAAGAAATACAGGGATAGAAATGATCTGCTGCAAAAGCTACACCAGCAGAAGGGGCAAACCATTGAAACCATGGGGGAGGTCACCAGTAGGCATACTGTTCAGCCTGACAGTGACACCCCCCCCAACACACACACACAAAACCCATACACATAACTGTAACTAAAAACCAACAACATTTTCCCTTTGTTGGAGGGCATGTATTACCATAAACTCCTCTGCGTGTGGTTATCTACATAGCCACACCTCAGGCGCCAACACCTGCCAGTAGCAGAATGCTACAGTAGTTTTATACTATATATAACTTTTTACATTTTTGGTTTCCTTTGAAAATTGTATTTTAAAGTATTTCAGTAACACAATATAGAGCAATGCGATAAAATACATTTTTAAAAACTCTGGTGGAAGCCTGCATACCTTCTTTATTTGTATACTGTCTTGTCTTTTTGTCCCTCTGCTCACCACAAGCATTGCGCTTTGGCCCCTCAGAACAATATGTTTGGGCACTCCTGTCTTTGGCTATTCCTTTTTAGTCACTCAGTCAACCTTTAATTAGTTTTTTTGGCCATTTGAACTACCCTCTGTATTCTCTGTTTGATGGTATATTTCCTTTGGGACTGACCCAATGCAGCAGTCTTTAAGTTCAGTGAGTTTTACTAAATTGGGCCTGACATTTATGGTTCTGTGTTGGATCAGCCATGTGTGGTATTACTGTAGTATTGAGTACTTGCTAGACAGGTGCTTAGGCAGGGCAGAAAACATGCAGGCTTGGCTCTGAACTTTCAAACTTTTTTATAAGGAATCTGAGATTTGTTAACTTAATTGATTCAATTGGTGAGATGTAAACAGTCATTTAGTGATTTATGAAATTGTTAATTGTAGAGAAACTTAACAACTCTGATTTCTTCACAATAACAGTGATAGAAACCAGAGATTGCAATATCTACAATGCAAATATAGCCATTTTATTAACCAATGAACCTATGTTATATGTTGTTGATAAAAGAAAAAAGTGGTAAAGTTTACTTCAGGAAATATTTTGCCCTACAGCACCCTGCATGCACCTCTTGATAAAATATGTTTTAGACCAGAAACTTATCTCTATCGTAAAATAGTGTCTCAGCCAGAGTTCAGTGGCATTAAATGCTTCTAACATCCGGTTCCTATCACCTCTGCTGTGTACAGTTCTGACTCAGTAAGTTCCTCTAGAATGAGCATTTCACATCAAACCACTCTAAATGACTTTTTACATCTTAAAGTCAATGTGAATTGGAAATCAGAACCCCTTTTTCTTCCTTAACAGGATGTATTCCCAACTGGAATGGGGGGATAATTGTGGGTCGGACATGATTTTATACTTAAGGATTTGATTGGATCGTGAAAAGTGGACATGACTCTGACAGTCAGCAGCATTCATCTGCTTTACAGAAAAGCCAAAGGAAAATTATAAATAAAAGCAATGTTTTTTTTTTAAAGAATGAAGCACTACAATATGTTGATGTTCATTTCCTGTAGTTTCTGAAATATGCTCTTTCATCAGCTGACCCTCCTCTCAGCCTCTGTGTTGCAGCGTGGCAGAAAATCCTCACAAAACAGCGCTACCAGATATCTGTACAACCTCAATCTGTACACCATTTTGACACACAATGAGCGCAGTAGGCGAGGATATGTAATTGCAGAGAGGAGAGGCACTGTTTCCCCATTTACATTTGAATTTTGCCCTCTTTTTAGCTTAATGTTCTCTTTCAAAATACAATTTAAATGCATCATTAGAGAGTAAAATGCATATAAGATAAATTACACTTGTTAATTATACTTATTACATAATTATTGCATAATCACATTAGGCATAAATATGCAGTTCTGGAAATACATTTTAATTCAAATAAAGCTACTCATAAAGCATCTGAGTGTAATGTCAATACTAGTATACCAACTGGCAAATTAAAATTGCAATATTAAATTATAATTTTCATTTTGAGCTCAACATTGCATATATGAGTGGGAAATTTAAATGCAAACATACAACTACATTTTTTTCATTTACATTATTTTTATAAACACCAAAAGTGAGAGAGTAAAGAGAGAAAAAGAAACGAGGTTGTCTTTTGACATGTTCATACAGCCAGGAGTGGAGATGATGGGTGTTTTTGCTCAATGAATAGTCAGGGTAATGGGGTGATGCCAAGACATTATTGGTTAGTTAAATTTTTCTCGCCAACTGAAACATGTTGACGCAAACAAACGTCAGTTTATGTTTAGCGGTGGATAGAAATCACTACACTTCAATCAAAGATTAAGGAGAACCAACATTTTTTTCATACCATGATATCTCATTAAAGGTGATGTACCATTTAGAAGTCTAGAAATTTTGTGGCTGTTTTTGTTTTGGTCTCTGCCAGTTATTTGGCAGCTGTTTGGCGGAACTGCTGAAGCTTTTTATGGTGGCGCCACACACGCATGCTCACAGCAGGTCAGCATTCACCTGTGATTTCAATCAACTGGCTTGCTGTCCTGATGTGGAACACAGGAGCATTTGCTGAATGGCTCCTTGCCTTCCTATACTTCACAAGGCTGAGAGATCACGTGCAGTTGTTCCCTAAATCTCTTTTCCCTGCCACTCTCAGGCATGCCTCAGTGAGTCTGAGTGGGCCATGCTGACAGCTATGCTAATAGCCAAAACAGACAGGCAGATGACAAAACCAAAGCAGTGATGAGGATCCTCCCGGCGTCTTTCTGTAAACACCAGTCGGCATGGTGCAGAGAGGTCAGCCCACGCTGTGGAAAATGGAGCATGGCAAAAGCATGATGTCATGAGTGTGGAAAGAGAGGAAAACAAACAAATAAAAATAGGATGATGATGATGAGAGTGATTGATTTCTTCTCTTAGTGATATTGGGCCAGATGTATTTGTTATTGGTGGGAAAATAAGAAAGAATACGATCCAACAAAAAATTAGCCAAAAATGTACACAATGTGTCATGTTGTTAGTGTGCAAAGGTCAAAGACCACTCTTTATCATTTAATTTCTAGTCAAAACTGTGAAGTACAGCTTATTTTATTTTTCAGGATATTTCTGAGAAGATTAGGTACAAGATAATCTATGTGCATAAGGAAGGGGAAAATAAAAGAAAAAGAAGAAAAATAGGACTCGACTAACCAAGATCTAGTAGATCATCAGATAAACAGTACTAGTGTTCTTGTGTGAGAAATGCAAAAAAAATGCAAATCAAACCAATAAGCTTCTCATGTTCTTAGAGTCCCACCCCTCAGCCTAGACCTCAATTGTTAATTGAATGTGTTTGGGATTACTTGGATTGTGAGAAACGGAAAATGTAACCAACATCTAAGACTGAACTTTAAAAATGTGTAAAATAGATGAAGATTTCCTTAAAATTATAAAAATGTTCTAAAAACAATGGAAGTGGTAATAAAGGCAAAAGGTGGATGGACACGCTCTAAATACTGAAAAAAAAGATGTTATATTTGTTTTCAATGAGAACGTCCTGCCACGTCAGCCCTTTGTGGATAAGATTGGACACCCTGATTTAGTTGATAAGGCTTCTGTGTAATTTTTATGTGAAATGTTTTCTGGTGGACTAGAAAAATTGGCATTTGTCAGTTTTTACCTTGTGCAACACCTTTCCAAAAAAGTTGGGATGCTGTGCAAAATGTAAATAAAAACAAAATGCAATGATGTGCAAATCATTTAAACCCTATATTTCATTGAAAATAGTAAAAAGACAACATATCAAATGTTGAAACTGAGAAATTGTATTGTTTTTGAAAAATATATGCCCATTTGGAATTTGATGCCAATAACGTTTAAAAAAAAGTTGGGACGGGGGCAACCAAAAGCATAGTAAAGTGAAAATAAAAAAAACACCTGGTGGTTAGTTGGCAACAGGTCAGTAACATGATTGGGTATAAAAAGAACATCCCAGAGAGGCTTAGTCTTTCAGAAGTTAAGATTGGGCAGGGTTCACCACTCTGTGAAAGAATGCACAATCCAATAGTGCAACAATTCAAGAATAACATTTCTCAACATAAAATAGCAAAGAACTTTTGCTTTAATCATCTACGGTACATGATAACATTCAAAGATTCAGAGAATCTGAAGAAATCTCTGTATGGAAGAGACAAGACCAAAATCCAATATTTGCTGGCCATGATCTTTGGGCCCCTCAGGCGGCACTGCATTAAAACCAGGCACGATTCTGTAGTGGAATGTAGTCACTGCATGGGCTCAAACGCTTCTGAAAAACACTGTCTGTGAAAACAGTTTGCCGCTGCATCCACAAATGCAAGTTAAAACTCTAAAACGCAAAGAAGAAACCGTATATAAACAGGATCCAGAAATGCTACCACCTTCTCTGGGCCCAAGGTCATTTTAAATGGACTGAGGTGGAGTGGAAAAGTGTGCCGGGGTCCGACGAATCAACATATGCAATTTTTTTGGAAAATCATCAACACTGTGTCCTCCAGGCTAAAGACCACTCAGCTTGTTTTCAGTCACAGTTCAAAAGCCAGTATTCAAGATGGTATAGGGGTGCATTAGTGCACATGGCATGGGTGACATGCTCATCTGTGAAGGCACCATTAATGCTGAACGATATATACATATTTTGGCAACATATGCTGCCATTAGATGATGTTGTTTACAGGGAAGACCTTGTTTATTTCAGCAAGACAATGCCAAACCACATTCTGCATGTATTACAACCGCATTGCTCTGTATTAAAAGAGTCCGGGTGCTAAGCTGGCCTGCCTGCAGTCCAGACCTGTCACCCACTGAAAACCTTTGCTGCATTATGAAATGAAAAGTACGACAAAGGAGACCCCGAACTGTTGAGCAGCTGAAATCCTATGTTCAGCAAGAATGGGAAAACATAACACTTTCAAAATCACAGCAATTGGTCTCCTGAGTTCACAACACTTACAGAGTGTTGTTAAAATAAGAGGTGATGAAACACAGTGGTAAACATGCCCGTGTCTTTTGGAACATGTTGTTGGCATCAAATTCAAAATTGGCATGTATTTTTCAAAAAACAATAAAAATTTCTCAGTTTCAATATTTGATTTGTTGCCTTTGTACTATTTTCAATTAAATATAGGGTTCGAATGATTTGCACATCATTGCATTTTGTTTTTATTTACATTTTGCACAGCGTCCCAACTTTTTTGGAAATGGGGTTGTATTTAAGGTTGAATGTTTCTGTTTTGTGAAGATAGGAAAAGGCATTGGAATTCTCAACTAATCTGATGTGTCTGAAAAATTGTGTGTGAAGTCATCGATTTTATATTATCTGATACAGTAAGCCTTTGTTGATTGTTGTTTTTTTTTTGTTGTTTCAGCAGCATTGTTTGCTTCATATACAAGATGCAATTGAGTACTTTTCATGACATCATTGAATGCAATTCTGAAAATTCTAAATGTACTGCTCTGCTAAGAGCAAGAAATGATTTTGTCTTTTCAATGTCTTTGCAGAAGCTGCTGGAACTGAATAACCTGCACTCTCTGGTGTCAGTGGTGTCAGCCTTACAGAGCGCACCCATCTTCAGGCTTAGTAAGACCTGGGCGGTAAGAGCAAAATCAGTTTTCCTTTTTACCAGTCACAGATTGAACTGATCAGCATTTGAAGTCCAAGAAGACACTTGTTATTACAATCACATCTATATGGTGACTGAACTGAACTTTTGAAAATTTAAACAAGGGTGATAGTGATATTACACATCCCAAGCTATGAAGTGCTTTCACCCACATCCTTGATGTAATACAGACAATCATGGTGTCCCAGTTGCTTAAAACTGGAAGTTTAGGTAAAATAACAAAAATGTGTAGTACATGAATTATAAGTCTGTGCCTTTAATGTAGGGATTTCCGTCTCAATCTTTTAGACAGTTAAAGTAGAGAGCAAATTGCAAAAATAAAAGTTAATCAAAGAAAAATGTAAGTAATTGACTTTGATAGGAAAATGAAGGCCCTAAAGTAGTGATTTTTAAACTGCAAGGGCCTGTATGTGGGTCTGCATTTGATGTAGACAGTAAAATAAATACCCTGCTCAGTGGGAAGGCATCCTCCAGGAAAGTGCAGGGAGATGACCAAGTCTCTGCTGTACTGACAACAGCAAACTCCTTTCTGCACCACCCAGCATTCAGAAATATTTTAGGCAGAGTGACCAATCACTGACCCTTTTAGTCTTGTAGGCCATAGAAATTACACTACCCAAAGGTAATATGTTTCAAGCAGAGGAACATCCCTATTCTTGTTCCTATTCTTCAAATTTTTTTTCTGTCCTGAAGCTGCCAAAAAGTGAGCCCCTCTGGAGGGACACCTGCAGTGGGAACCATGATCTGGCAGTCTAGCACAGAGCTAGCAATAGGACACAGTGGTTGCAGTTCTGAATTTTGTGTAGCATTTCAGAGATGGTGAAAGCAAGCATTTTCGGTCATAAAAACTCACCAGTATGAACCAAACAAATTATGTATGCACTGAAATTGTGGGCACATAAACTTTTTGGACAAAATGATAAAAGTAATTTTGCTTTTAAGCCGAAAGAGAATAAAACATCTAAATTTTATTTTCTAGTTTTCTACTGTTTTATTCTAATTTTACAACTTTTTACAAATTAACAAATGATTTCAGTTGGAATTAATATGAGAAATACTGAGTGAAAATGCAGTTTGTTCTTTTTACTCTCCTTTGCTGGTGAGCGCAGATACGTTCAAGTAGTAGAATGTAATGTCGACCAAATAGAACCTGTTCCTAGTTTCTACAAGGGATATTAGACGAGCGATTTAAAATTGTGATTCATGCTGAATATCAAGAGTTATGCCATCCAACTACATGTTTAATATAACTTGAAAAGATATCATCCTCTTCAATACCCAGAATGCAGCAGAACAACAGAAAAAGTAAGTCCCTTCTAGCATGCAGTGAAAATACTTGACCAAAATTAAAATACTTGTTCTGAATTTTGTTCTTGGCCAAGTATTTTCATTTCAGTAAACCTCTAAAACAAAGGTTTTGAAGCCACCTGGACCACCTTGCCACTTTCCCAGATTAATAGTTCCTTTTTCAGTGGTGAGTGGTTCACAGTGAGGGGGAAGTAGGAAAGTGCTGATGTCAGCAGATTTCAGGGAGCCTATAACCTCAGGAACCCACCCCCGCACCTCCCCCGCCCCTCCCACCTCCGCCAACCCCCCCGGATGTGGAGAACTGTAGGGCCAGCGTGCATTAATGTGTAACTGTCACCATAGTGGGATTATATTTAGATACCGATGTAAACTGTGCAGCCACATGTAGAACTGCTGAAGCTGCAGTAGGTGCAAAGGGCTGATTGCTGCGATCAGGCCCAGATAAAGAAGGAGAGCAAGGAATGATTGCCCAGTCTCGTGAGAATGTCTCAGACACATGTGGAAGTCAATGACACTATTTTGAAACATGAGTCAAGAGTTAGCCCTATGAACTGGATGGTCTGACCTTGCATAAGGGAGCTCTTACCCCAATTTATGATGAGCTCTAAGCTTGACAGATGTTCCAGGAGAGTCTCTATGTCTAGCACATCTTGGTTATATCTGAAATCTCATGATTATATAATCCAGTCATCCAGGAAAGGGAGACTCTTCCTGCCCTTTGCTTTTGCATGCACATATCTGGTGAATACCCTTGAGGCCTGTTATGCCAAACCTTGAAAGGAAAGCTTAGGATCTGTCTGTGTTATAGGTATTCTTTAAATTTATGTACATGAACTACTCACAGGTGATTTAGAAACAAGTTGAGCCTGTATATTAGGGGTGTGTCAGAATTTTTAATGTTTCAGTAAACAATGAACGTTTAAATAATGATACTGTGTAATTCCCCATAGAGCAATGAAGTACCTGCATCATTTTATTCTGTTTCTTAACGGTATACTATGAGGAAGGATACACAGACTACTGCACCTGACTAAAGGTCACCGCACACTGGACAAAAGCATCACACTGCATATATTATGTGTCTATGCAGAACTGATGGGCAGATCTAAGAGATTAACGTCAGTACAACCCATGAATAAAAATGATTTTCTGAGACATGCTTCACTTCCAAAGAATCATAGCAGAGGCCAGCAGTGTAGGGACTCTAAACTGTAGGGGATCTGTGAAAATGTGCTTATGACAGGGCATGGGTGCATGATGCTAAAAAGCCTGTTCAGTGGTGGCATGCGCTCCAGGCCATAGCGACTAGATTATGTCATGGTTGCTAGTACTCTTACTGCTGTGCTAGATCATGAGTGTTTGAACATAAGACTCCATAGGCATTAATAAGTCCCCTCATCACAAGCAGGAAACTCAGAGGACTGATGGAAAAACATGTCAGGCTTTAAGACCAGGGAAGTCAGAATATTCAGGCCTAAACCAGCTAGGGCCTGTTTAATAGTGCTCAGCATGGGAACTGCTGAGTGCAGCAGATGGAAAATTTAAGGTAGTGTGAAGGACAATAGAGCCATGTTGCTAAATGTGCAACTGAATTCAAGTAACCTTAACAGTTTACAGTGGTCTAGGTTGAACATGGGATAACTCACCTTTGCAGTGAACGGAGACAAGTATTCAGACACTTTTGTTTTTATTTGATATGTATCAGTATAATATTATTCATGCATATTCATATATTCATTTGTATTTATAAGTTTAAGCAGATATGTTTAAAACACTAAATTGATAGGGGAAAAAGTATTCAGACATGTGAAGGAGTGAAGGAGCTTTCTAAAGTTCTCAGGGACAACATTATTAAGCAACATTCGAATGGAAAAAGCTTACTGGACAGGAAGAGGACTACAAGAAACTGGTAAAGGACTTCTTTGACTGGTGTAAGCTGTATCAGCTGCAGGTAAACATCAGTAAGGCTAAGGAGATGGTGCTGGGCTTTAGAAAGTCCAGTCCTGCCTTGTCACCAGTCACCATTGATGGAGTAGATATAGAGGTGGTAGGGATGCACAAGTATTTGGGTGTGGATTGAAACTCTAACACTTACACGGTGTACAAAAGAGGCCAAAGCCACCTGCACTCCCTGAGGAGGCTGAGGTCTTATGGTGTGTGCACAAAGCTACTATGGACATTCTACCAGTAAGTGAGAACTTTCTTACTCACTGCAATAAGCCTCTACAATGAGTCTCCTTACTGCAGAGATGGTACTGACCTCCTGCTGTCTGAGCTGTGCTGAATCATAGCACATATCACCTCTCTTGTTAATACACACTGTGCAATATATCATATCCTGTAAAGACACTTCTCACTATGCTATTTGACTGTAAATACTTCTGCTATTCCTAGTTATGTTTATACTCAGTGAGTTTCAAACTACCTCATACCATTTACTGCAACATCTGCTCTCATGTGAATAAACAAACTTCTATGCTTATGTAAATATGGTAATAGATATACTTCTATTCCTATTCTTCCATATTTTACTTTAGGTATGTTTTTTATTGACTAATTTATGTCTATTTGTATTTCTGCCTAATGCATGTAAGTTTATGTGCAATCATGTGCCCACAAGCAGCCTTCCTTTTGGAATCAATAAAGTATGCCATGGCAAAGACCTTAAACATCCATGTCAGTACAGTTTGTTCAATAATAGTGGAAAGTTCCTGGAACCACAACAGCTGATTGTCCCTGATATATATACTACAATAAAGTATGCCATCATTTTGTATATATATTGATAAAACATTGAATATATGGAATGAACCTTGAGGATATGGAATGAAATCTGACGTCATCAAGGCACTAGCGCCATCTTGTGGTTTGGATGTATGAGATTCCGTACGGATGCCGGCAGTGCGTCGCTATGACTGAGTCAGCACGAAATCTAGTGGCAGTAATTCTGAATAATGAGGGGATAATTAACACCCTGGCGAACAGATGTACGAGCCAAAATAATACTGGTAACCATATTCAATACTGTTTAACCAATGAACTTTATTCACTGTTTCACTGTGGAAGAATGCAGTGAACCTCACAGGCCAGACAATTAACGTTAATCAGGCAAACGTTAATGCAGACAGAAGCATGCCTTCCACTGGAGCACCCCACAACAACCATACCTAAAATCTTCGCCCATTCACTTGTAAGGCTCCAAAGCTATGGTGTGGGGTAGGACTAGCTAGCTATATATATATATATATATATATATATATATATATATATATATATATATATATATATATATATATATATATATATATTACAAACGTAATTGGGAGCTACGTTAAGTGCTTTATAGGTCCATTTCCTAAACGGCATGCCATAATATATATATATATATATATATATGCACACTTTTCTATGCAATTATGCATTGGATTGGTATCCACATGGATTCTTATTACAGATAAATGTAACATTTATGTAACATTTATTGCAAACATAAGTGCAGACATTTTTGTATACTAGCCCACCATCACGTAAACGTTTTGCTCCTCCAGAGTACAGTAAATACATTATCAAATATCGATATTTGCCAATTTTTTTAAGCAAATATCTGCTACTACCAATATGATTCAAGTATTATTGTGCATGCCTAATAATATTAAATCTAAT